GCCATCTTGTCTCCAAATCATTTTTACTACTCAGTAAAAGGAAGAAAGAACTTTCATTAAAGTTGAACAGTTGGGCTATGAAAGAAGGAGGATTATAGCACAATGTCCTTGACCCTCTCTCAAAAACAGAACCAGGGCCACATTTGAGGAATGCCAAATGATTCTCATTAAAGTAATAAGCATATTTTCAGTGACATGTGTTTGACCGGTTCGTGGCAGCCAGAGACCCAAAAATAACACACAGCTGGCAGTTCCTGCTCAAACACACCTAACAGACGTATTTTACACTGTTTCAAGGATGCTCCACCCTAGACAGACCGGGTGTAAGGTCATATACAAATTGTTGTGGCCTTAAACATGCATTCCTTGTGACAGCGCTGACAAGTTGAATTTAAGATGCTGAGTTCCTCCAGCCCTTCCTTCACAAAAGTCGCTCCAACTTGGACAGGGTGAGCCAACAAATTTGGTTGATTCCAGCTCCTGCCCCACCCAACAACTAAAGTTATTTTTAACTTTCAACTACAGTTGATAAGTATTTTTCACACACACACACACACACACACACACACACACACACTATACCCCTTCAGAAAGAGAAACTGAAAAAACAAAACATCATTACATTTTGGTGAGAAGTAGTCAGTCCCTCCGCCAAAGCTATAAACGAACGCCATTTTGGTTTAGAGACAACAAAGCACTTCATATTTATCAAATTTTTCAGTCCTTTCTACAATTTCTCTAAAAGCCCTCTGAGGCTGTGGGTAAACTAAAATTGTACCAAAACTGCCTTTAAAAAGCCTAGTCTTTTTTTTTTAATAGGGAAGCTCTCTTTAAAAAAGAAATTATTTTTAGAGAGGAAGAAAGAGAGGGAGAGAAACATCAATGTGTGGTTGCCTCTCACACACCCCTCACTGGGATCTGGCCCACAACCGAGGCATGTGCCCCAACTGGAAATTGAACCAGCAACCCCTTGGCTGGCAGGTCAGCACTCAGTCCACTGAGCCACACCAGCCAGGGTGAAGAGTGTAGTCTTTTGAACTGAATAAGACCAATTTCCATAGTTCTAGTGTAATAAATGGTAACCACTAATATGAAAATTATCATTTCATTGTACAATTTGCTCCAATCGATACATTTTCCCATTATCTGGAAATCAGCTGAACGAGCTATGCTCCATGACCTCAAAAGTTAAAATTTGATGGGGAAGACAGACAGGGCCTTAAGAAAGTCAAAGAAGAAGATGCCACCTTCGCATAAAAATAATAATAATGACTACCATTGGTGTCAGCACTGTTATAGGTACTTTATACATATATATCAATAAATCTCCACCACACCCCTTAATATGTGTACTATCACTATTCCCATTTCATAAATGAGGGAAATGTGGCTCAGAGAGGCTAAGTAACTTGCCCAAGGTCACATGGCTATTTAAGTGGGGAACTATGGTTTGAACTCAATCATCTGACTCCAGTTGGAACTGGCAATAGGCCTGGGTACCACCTTGGATTCCACCACATACTGGGGTTGGGGGGGGCATTCTTAAACAGGCTTTTTAACTTTCCTGAACCTCGGTTTTCTCGTCTGTAAAATGGGGATAACAATATATAGCTCACAGGCTTTTATGAAGAGTATTAAACAAGATTATCTTTGCAAAGTGCTGGGTACAGTTTTTTCAGCATGGCTAGCATCTGCCATCAGGGGAAACAAACACATTAAAGCATTACTTTCTAAGATGCTACCTTTTGACCACCTTCCCTATTTGCCTCGCCAACTGGGAAGGCATCCCTGTCGGAGAATTCAGCTATGCAGGGTAGAATTGGGGGCTGCCAACCCTTCCTCCTCCCCACTTTGATAGGTCCTTAAAAGTATTAAGATATCAATAGGTGAAGATATGGGAATAACAGCATCCCAGGGTAGGTCAACAACATCTATTCAGTTATTTATTGATTGTCTGTCACGTACCAAGCACCATGCTAGGCACTCTGGTGACCAAATCTCTAAAATATAGCCCTACCAACAAGGAGCTCACAGCTCCATAGAGGGGAAGCGCTCATAAAAAATGTTAAAAATCAAGTAACCAGCACGCAATCTAGGCAACCTATTGCACGAAGCTGCTCAGGAGAGGCAGCAGGTTGGTGCCCACGCTAGCAAACTCATGGCCATGGTACCCACACTGTGCGCATTACTCAAACCACCTGGCCATCTAGTCCTCCCCAGTCTGTGCCCTCTGAAAATCTCAGTGTCCTCTGCCTCTGTATCTTCAGTCCAAAGCTATGACACATACCTTTGTGATTCTCAAATGCTCAGCCATGAGATGGCTTCCAATCACAGAGCCTTTGCAAAGTCAAGTGAACATCTGATGTGAAAGTAACTGTTCTAGACGTGGCCTAGCCCCGTCTTTGTCTTGAGGAGCTCAGCATTACAAGTCTACCTAGTAGAAACCATGTGTTTGAAGAAGTGTCAGTTTAGATTTTTAACGAGGAGAAAGAGAGCTAAAGGACTAGAGACCAACACTGAGGCTTTCTGAGATTAGTTCTTAGCCAAAAATGATTTCCTACTTGTGCCTGAATTTTAGAAGTTAGTAAAAAACTTTATCAGACGTTCAGCCTCTCACCCTTTATGGCAGTCAACTATTGACACAGTGATGCTGTGTAATGAGGACCACAATAATCTCAGCAGCTTTCAACAATAAACATTTATTTCTTGCTAATGTATCTATGGGGCAACTGGGGTATCTGTTCTGTGTGTTTTCTCCTGCAACCAAGGCCCAAGGAGCAGCAGCCACCCAGGGTATTCTCTTGCCATGGCGTTAGGGAAAGCACAACAGGACAAGCCTGACCAGACAAGAACACATACAAATCATCTGCTCGCAACACATCCACGAGCATCCCATTGGCCAAACCAAGTCACGTGGCCAAGCGCAATGGCAACAACAGGGAAGTACACATCACTAAGAGGCCATGAGCCGTGTGGATGCCTACCACCACCAAAGGGGAGGAAAGAACTGGTACCAATAATCCCATTTCCACACTTCCTAAACAATCTTGAAACGTAGGCATTAGACTCTATTCTTTCTTGACAGCTGAGAAAGTTGACCCTCCAGAATTTAAGTCAGTCATCCAGGCTGGATAAGCAGGATGTTGCTCTAGCTGAGTTAGTATCCAAATTGCCTGCCTTCTTTGGTTTCTACAGAGACGTAGCTTACTGGCATGCAACTAGTATGCATCTTTAATAATCATATCCATTAATGATGCTACTGTGCAGATATCAATTCTCTCCAACAAAGGCCAGGCCCAACACTATCTCACCTGTTAGCATGATCATTTGTTCAGGGCCTTCTACAATGTTTTTAAAAGCTATTTTTATTATTACTACACTAATAAATTATTTATGATGGGAAACCTGAATCAGAAAACTCTGGCAACTTGAAAATAGTCTTTATTAAAAACATCTCCTTCCCCCTCCAAGGCGCACACAACCTCTTTGCCTACTCGGAGCCTCAGAGCTTTCGAGGAGTGGTGGAATGGAAGAGGCAGATGGCTGCACAGGAAGGGATCTGGATGCATCAAGTTGGAAGCTAATTCTTGAACAGGGAATTTTCACTCCGCTGGGACTGCCCTGGGCCAGATAATCGCCCAATGGCCCAGACTGTGAAGCATCAGAAAACTAAGTCATGAAGGTCAAGAAGCTACCCCGATGCCAGCAACCTCCCACATACATTCACCTGTTCATACAACTAACAGTAGTGATGGTGTCTCTACTCTGGGCGGGGCAAAGGTGCTGGGATGCACCTTGAACAAACAAGACGGACTAGTTCTCATGGAGTTTACACTCTGCAGAGACGGACAGGTGGTTACCGCCCCCGCCCCCAAAAAAAGGAAAAAAGAAGTGAAAGCAAATAGGGTAATTTCAGGTTCTACTAAGGGTTTCTGAAGAAACGAGCCCTGTGACCCTGGGTAAGTCACTAGCTTAACGCTTCTCTGGGGCCCTCGATACCCTCATCTGACATTCACAGGGCAGCTTCTCTCGTCCTCCTCAGGCGGGCGGAGGGGCATTCTGGGCCGTTCTCCCTTAACTCTCACCAAAACTGAAACTCTTGCTTATTATTTCCCAGAGAGGACTCAATAGCCCAAAGGATGCCGAACAGCCGGAAGGAGGGGTGGGTACAGCGGTTCTTAAAAACAAAAGCCTAGCCTCCAGCGCCCTGGAGGAGGTCCGGACAGCGCGCGGCGCTAGGACATCCCTAATTTGCTCCCTGGCGGCGCTTTGCCGGGCCAGGCGCCGCGGACGCCGACGCTGCCTGCTTCGCGTGCTCCGCGTGGGCGGGGGGCCTGCCCCTGCCCTCCACTTCCACCCGGCGGGACCAGAAGCCGCTCCTCGTTCCTTTGCCACCCAAGGAAACAGGCCTGGCAGCAGACCCAGGACCCGTTTACGACAGTTCAGAGACAGGGTGGGGTGCCGGGCTGTCCGTTCTCCGTCCAAGAATCGGGTCTAGACAGTGAGAGGGGTCAGGAGGCTGCGCCCCGCACAGCCCGCTCCCGGCGGCGCTGCGCCGGGCCCGGCGCCCCAAGGGCTGCTATGACTACCGGGCTCGATTCTGACAGCTCGGGGGTGGAAGGGGAGCTGTCCCCGCTCCCACCCCGCCCCGCAGTGACCCAGACGCCTCTCTGGCCTCTTTCAGTTGCACCTCGCCAGCCGGGGAGGTGTGGGAGGATGGGACGCAGCTTCCTGAGCGCCGGGCCTTGTTCTGGGGGCCGCGGCACCTGAACCCTGGGGGCGGGGAGAGAGCGCAGAGGGGACAGAGGCGTAGCGGTAGCGGGAGCCCCGGCCTTGCAGCGCGGCTTCAAGTTTCCACCCGCGCGCGATTGTGCAACAGCCCGAGAAGCAGGAGCCGCGGGCACCTCGGAAAACAAGCCGAGCCCATAAACAAAGCCACGTGGCCTCCGGGCCGAGGGGGTGGGGTGGGGGCCGGGCTAAGAGCAGGCGGCTCTTCCGGCAACAACGAGCGGCTGCCAGGGGCCCGAGATAAATACTGCGGCCAGGAAAGCGGCGCAGCAGCATTGCCCGAGCCCCGCGCGCTCTGCGACCCTCCCGGCGCAGCGCCCTCTCCCAGCGCAGGCACTCCGCTCCGCACCCCGAAATCTTCAGCCCTTTACACGCCGGTTCACTGCAGCCAGCCCCTTCGCCGGCCCTCGCACCCTGAGCGTCCTCCCAGGGCGGCGCGTCCTCGAGGCCTCCGGGCCGGTCGCGTCCACCAGTCGGTCGCGTACATCGGTGGCGTCCGCTTGCGGTGCCATGCCGTTCCTCGGGCAGGACTGGAGGTCCCCTGGGCAGAGCTGGGTGAAGACGGCCGACGGCTGGAAGCGCTTCCTGGATGAGAAGAGCGGCAGCTTGGTGAGCGACCTCAGCAGGTGAGCGGATCCGCCACCAACTTCCAGCCCCCACGAAATAGACCCAGGCTGGTTTTAGGGGCGCGGGGCAAGTGAATGGGGGTCAGGCAAGGTTGCAGTAGGGTGAGGAGGGAGGCCCTGAACCGGGGGATGAGAGTGAAGTGAGTTGTCTGGCTTCTGCAGAGGTCACCAGAGCACGAGATTCAGGGAACTTGATTTCACTTGTTCAAGGTCAGCGTCTCCAAGTGGACATGACTCCGTGCAGAACCTCAGGTCCCTCTGAGAATCTGCCGACAAACACGGATACTGTCCACAAACACTCAAACTTAAGCACACAACTTGAGGGATCCCCTGCCTTAAGGACACCGGAGTCACGCAGTTTGCAAGTGTGGGGACGCGGGCGAGTGGGCCGCGCGCCTTTCACTGCTAGGATGGCGGGGCTCCAGGCGCCCGAGCGCCGTGGGGACAGTCGGACAGTCGGGTGACGGCATTGGATGCGGTTTCCGCCGGAGCGCCGCCAGGCTCTTCCCACGCACCGGCGACCACAGAGTGGGCAGGGATGATGAGTAACCAGGAAGGGGCGGCCAGATGGCCCTGGGGCACCCGCGCTTGCAGGGTGCACTTTCGAAGCGGTGGTCTGGAGTGGGATGCGCAGAGCTGAGGAGGAGGGCAGAGAGGAGGAGGAGGAAACCCGCAAGTCTGCTTTTGGGAAGACCAAGCATTTGCACCTGTTTCCTCAGTGACGCTTTGGGTTCATTTTCTTTGTATAGTGAGTGCACCCCTATTTCAGTGGGTGCTTGTCAACGGCAGAGAGCCCACCTGGCCCTGCTGAGCCCCTGTGGTCGGAGTCCCACCTGAGCGCGGTCTGGTGGGAAATCAGACCCCTGCTGAGCCAGGAGTCCTCTTGGTTCCTGACACAGAAGCACTAAGTTAGGTGGTCTGGGATCTGTCAGTTCTCGGCGGTTGACTTCCAGATCCCTGGCGTTTGGCCCAGGTGAGGAGAGCAGTAAAAGTGGGTCCAGAGGAGGCCTGTGCAGCCTGGTCTCCCCTGGGTGCCTTCCCCCCCCCCCCCCCCCCGCCACTTTGATTAAAAGCCCTGCCCCTCACCCCCTTAAACTGACTTCAGTGGAGAGTTTTCTATCGATAACCGCCAGGTTCCCACTTACAGAGACACCCGTGGGCCCTCTTGGCTGACCTCTTGACACTTAAGAAAACTATTGAGAAAATATGGTTATTTTGGCAGCTTGACCTCCAGAGCCCTCCATCTGTTTGTGATCTGTAAAGCATCAAATTCTGTCTCCCAATGCGGGGGGGACCCCAAAAACAAACAAACCAAAAGAAAACATATTTAATCTTGGAGGCCTGTCCAGAAGAGACAAGAACATATTGACCTCTAGGCTAAAGATACTTTCAGGCAGATCCTGGGCAATTTGGGGAACACAGCAAAGAAATTTTATTTGTGGAAAATCAGAAAATTTACTCACATAAAAATAAAAAGATCACGTGCTGTCACCAGACTGTCTTTTGGGAACTCAAGTTACCAATTATGTTTAAATTATCCTGTCCTGGTAGAATAGAAGCTTCCTTCCTTCTTCTTCATTCCTAAGGAACGATGATCTAAGCCTCTGGGATTTCTGTATAACAGTTCGCATTCTTTCTACAGAGGTGCAGCAATGATCTGCTGAGCTATGTCGTAGTGACTCACCCAAATATAATTGTAGGGTGCTTCTCAGAGGGGAGCAGACCATTGGGTTCAGCAGGGGGAGGATTCAAAATCTAGAGTGTCTAGTTCATGGAAGTATCCCAACTGTACCTGATCCAGGTGTACCTCATGGTGTGGGAGACCCAAAGACAGTTTTAACTTAGCACAAAAGTTTAACCTAGACTGAGATCTGTAGCTTCCCACCCCCTTGGTCCCCTTCAAGAGTCTCCTTTGCTTCCTCCCATTTCACACCTTCTGAGCTAGAGCTGTCGAATTCACCATGATTATCACAAATGGTGATCAATATAGCAACGACCGCCTCTGGTTCTTTGATGAGTCAGAGTTTAGGACTCATTTGGTAGCTCCTAGCAAAGCAGCTGGCTGTTTGTTAGTGGAGTCCTGTATTTTTTTTTTTTCTCCCAGCAATTGTAAACAATCCCTTCCTTACTTAGCATGAGAAGTCTGCCAACTTCTCAAAAGCAGTTGGCCTTCCGAGACCTGGGTTTGTAGTCTCAAATATCCCCACTGTTTTCAGTCTTGGTGATGTTTCTCTGTGATGTCAGGGTTGGGCTGAGTGCCCGCCTGCACAGGTGAAGCTGAATGCCTCTCCTGTTAGGAGAAAACAAAAGGCAGGCCCTTGCAAAAAGACAGAGGGGGGATGTGAAACAGAGGACTGCAGAGACAAGGTACACTTCTCTAATTCCACAACGTTCTGTGAGCTGCCCCAAGAAGAGCCACGGATGAAGGGTGCATTGAAGGGTGCATTCGGAGTGTTTCAGCCCGGGGCTAGAGTTGACTGCTGCCCAGAGCTTGTCTGTACAGTGCACCTTCTCTGGGCTCTGCTGGCCATTGTCTCTGTGATCCGAGGCCGTGGCCTCCTCCGGCGGCTGAACATTGTGAAGGCCACTGTAGCTGAGTGCCATGGAGTGAGTTTGCGGAGGATCTCCGATAAGCTTAAAGCGGGACCCTTCTCAAAATGTTGAAACTGCATTAAGACAGAGAAGGAATGATGAGTGTAAAACTTGGTGGGACAGATTTAAAATTGAAGGAAAGAGCTCAGAATGAGGTGGGGTGATCTAAGAATGCTTCAAGGAAGTGGTGGTGGAGGCACCTGAGACAGCCCTCTCACCAACCCCCGCTCCCTGCCGTCACCCCGCCCCCCGCTGAGTCACCTCTGCCATCTGAGCCTCAGGCAACCTTCTCCAAGCCCCAGTCCTGCAGCTGAGAAGCCTAATAATGTTGCTTTCCAATGTAGCTAAGGCTGAACCAGGAAGCAGGAAGTTCACCTTGGTGCCCTGGATGAGTAGGGCATAAGAAAATAAAAATAATAGTTAAGATTTTTATGAGTGCTTACTGTGAGCAAAGCACTGTTCTAAGAGTTTTATACACTAAGCATTTTTTTTTTTAATCAAGCAGTCTGGGTCCTAGCCACGTAAGTTTGACCATTTGGATATGCAATGGGACAAATGGGCATAGGAATCTCATTTACCTTAATCTACAGCTGAGCCCTTGGGGGCAGCCACGGCTTTCTTAAATGGCGTGTTATTGCAAATGAAATGAGAAGTAGGGTTGTTTTTGTTTTTGTTTTTTCTTCTCTCCCTTTACCTCTGCTGCCAAAATGGCCCTACTTTTAAATCTTTCCACCTTTTCTAAAGTTGTCTTCAAGTACCTTGGAATGTGTGATAATGTGCGATGATCGTTCAGAGCTGGGAGAGGCCTTTTTTCTTATTCTAGGCCTGTGCAAATCAACATTAGTAGGAAGTGACTACAAAATAGCAACTTACTGGCTATTATTAAATTTCATGAAGAAAGCAATATCGTTCAATGGTTTTACTTTTAAAAAATAAGTAAATAAATACATGCGTGTCACATGTTCCTTGAGGGTGGTGGCTTTTCTTGATTGAAAAAAAAAAGTGTTGTGATTTTCCATTGGTTTTGCATTTCCCTGAAATGGATATAACTGAGCTCACAAAATAGCTTCTAACCAAATATTTTATTATTGCGTAAAAGAAATGTATAAGCAGGTAACATAAATAAACCCCATAAGCCGCCCTTCCGGGGCCTACCTCTGGGGTCTAACACCTAATAACCAAGTGACAAGTGCAGGGTTTTGCTTTGGTTAAAGCTTTTCTCATTCTCCAGGGAGAGAGCATCATCAGTTATGTCGAATTCTTCTGAAACCAGCTTTGGGGATGAGTTGCTCGGGCTTAAGGCAGGTTATTGTGGTTTCTGTGAGGAAAGCAAGGGCTCCCATGTTTTGGGGGAATGTTTGCAATTAGAAAAGAATAAGGTGAAATACAAATATTTACAATTTCTAAGGAAGGGTTATGATCTATGGCCCAGGCTCCGAAAATTTTCTGCTATACCTTACATGTGTAACTGAAAATAAGATGGCTTCATTTTATGGTTTTTTATATGTGGAATTAAGGCTTGTACGGTTTTGCTCGTGGTGAGTGTGTGTGTTTTCTTTAAAAATAAGCCTTCCTGTGGTATTTCTGCACACGAAATGTCACAACTGTTTTCTAAAGCTGTTCTCAGCCTTGGTACTTCATGGATCAGTCAAGGGACCTTCCATTTTTTTTCCCCTTCTCCTCAATGTTGATTGAATTTTCTTAAGTTAGCTTTAAGGGCTCAGAGCTCTGTCCCTCCCCCACCCCCTTTTTCTGCCCCTCTTCTCCTGCTGATCTTGGAGCAGAAAACGGACTGGTTAGTGGTTTTGGACCCCTATCATTTTGCAAGTGGACAAGCACACACTCATGTGTGACACAAAGCCTGGCCCAAAACATTCACCCTTGGCTCGCTGAAGACAGTAAGAGAGGACATTTCTGCAGTGACCTCTCAAAAACCTAAAAATATCCCATCTCCCTGACTGAAAAAGAGAAGGGAAGCTCAGTAAATGGAATTAAGCAGGGCCTTGGGGGAAAGATTAACAAATGATTGGCTATCCATCAAGCTTATCCTGATGGATCTAGAAACACTGAGTATATTGTTAGTGATGTCACATGCAAGCATTTTAGCCAGTTACTTATTGTACTGATTGAAGTGCTGCTTGAGAGACTATTGTAGCAACAGGGAACTGGAACTCGCTTCCAACCCTCCTTTTTTTTTTTTTTTTTTTTTGTCATTTACACAGTGTCCACAGATGGGAGAGATATAGGTGCGTCTGATTTTACCTACTAGGTGTATGTCCAGAAAATATAGAAATCAAATCACGTTTTAAACGCAGCAGAGGAACTCAGAAAATTAAAGGACTCCAATACATTGGGGGTATGATTTTTTAAAAAACCTGTTTCATGTTACTAGTTGGCATTCTAAAACCTACTTTGCATACACATGCATACCCCATGGTTAGGAGAGCTGGGAACCCACTTTCCCATTCTACCTCAGTATTTCTCCTCTATCCCTTCTGTGGAAACTCTGTAGGTTGACACTGTATAGTAGGCTAGAACTGGCCAGTCCCCCCAGATGATGGCTCAGCCCACGAGGGAAAAATCCATGTGACCCAAGTTGGGCCTGTGCACCCTCCAGGGACACGGGGTTTGGACAGTTCTGACTTTTCAGCCCTTATAATCGTATGAATTGTGAACTCAGCTTGTTTCCTTTGGGATTCAAGGTCTTCACCTCGCAGCCTGATGCCTAGTGTTAGTCCATTACAAGACAACTAAGCAACTAGCTCAGTTCACAAAACAGCTCCTAGAAGTGGAGTGTGCAAGTGGGATTTTTGTAAATGGGATCATGTTTTAAAGGCTTGATAGAAGCATGCTAGTTAAAAGCAGCTTGGGTACACTTTAAATGGGAGAGTTGTATGGTAGGTGAATTATATCTTTTTAAAAAGCAGTTTGGGTGGGTGCTTTTGCAAAATGAGGGCACTGTGTGTTTCAGGGCGACCAGGAATGGGCCCTCTCCCCCTCGCCCCATCCATCCTTCTTGCTTGAAGTGATAATTGCAGCACCCTGCATGGCCCTTGGCGAAAGAGCCCTGGGCTGTGTGTCAAATACAATGGCAGGCACTGTGGAGAATTCACAAGCAGCAGAAGCCCCCGTCTCTGCCTTCCACAGAAATGTGACATTATCTGATCCTGAAAGAAGGACATCTATGCCTGGATAAACTTCTTTTGAGGGATTTTTATTGTGGGGTTTGAGAAGCATGTGTGTTGGTGTTTCATAACCCAGCAAGTTATTTAGGGAAGCGGCTCATGGTAAAGTATAGCTGTGACAGCGCATCCCCTCCTGTCTTGTTTTTCCTAGTTACTGCAACAAGGAAGTGTACAATAAGGAGAATCTCTTCAACAGCCTCAACTACGATGTTGCAGCCAAGAAGAGAAAGAAGGACATGCTGAACAGCAAAACCAAAACTCAGTGTAAGCCCTTTGTTTTGAACTTAAGGAGAACGGTGTTTGAAGATTGTTATGATTGGTTCTTTGCAGGGCGTGGGGGGGGCGGGGGGACGGATAATCACACCTCACATGTTCCATAGCTGCTTCAGTATTTCCTGTGTCATTGACAGAGGATCCTGGGATCTTTGCACTCAGGAACCTGGCTGTGCATTTTATGAACACAAGATTAATGCGTTCTTTATAGTCTTGTTTATAAGTCAGTTGCTGGTTGGGGTGTTTTTTTCCTGCTTGTCACTTACATTTGGCATAGTTAATTTAGTTATTTATACAGTGATATAGTCAGCTGAATCAAGTCCAGCGTGTACTTTTAGTTTGCACTGTTTTGAGACTTTGAAAATAGATTTCTCCCTCTTTCCTTGCATAAATACTGGTAACATTTCTAGATGCTCTATGTGAGTATTAACAGAGAGTATTAAGTTCTGTAAATAAGCAGGAATTACAGATCTTTAACCCATCCATACTGCATGGTTCCCTCATGTTATCTGTTTTATTTCTACTTTTTATGGCCTCGTATAATCTGTAGGCTTGGCATATAAAACAAACTTGTACTTGGATATTAGTTTTTGTGTATTTCTTTTAATTTGAAGCTATCAGATACTAAATCTGTGTCAAAGTTTTGGAGCGCTTCAGACAGAGACAACTGTAACTCCAGTATTTATACACTGCAGAAATTAGGCATTTGCCTCCTCTTAGATTGTCAGTAGAGTTTTTGTATTCTTTTGTCAAAACTTTACAATTTGGAATAAATGAAAAAGGAACAAGTTTAAAATCTTAGGCCTGTTAAAACTGGGTATTTTTTTCTTTTCATCTCTGTAGATTTTCACCAAGAAAAATGGATCTATGTTCACAAAGGAAGTACTAAGGAGGTGAGCATCATCTATTTATCAAAGAGTATGCTTAGCTTTATGCCTTCCCCAACAGACTGGGGGGAAACTGGGCAACGCTGTTATTTCAGATCATGAGTGGCACCTTGGGTGGTGGTGGCGAGCAGCCACTAACTAGCCAACCATCAGAGTTTGGGGCTCCAGAGAGAGAAGCACAAGTCACTAAGTGGACCCCCCCACAAGCCTTCAGGAAGATAACATATATAAAAATGTTTATAAAGATGCCCATCTAAAATATATTATTATGAAGCCCTAGCCTTTGCCTCAGGACCATGCCTGCTTTTTGTTCTAAGTTCTCTTTAGACTTCAACTCAGTTAAGGTTTAGCCCTGGAGAAGCTAGTCACTAAATATAGCAGAAGTTTTAGTGCCTGTTCTGTGTGAGGCACCAAGGTAGGTGCAGACCAGGACAAGACACCATAATAGCTACATTTCTATGGCACTTTATAAAACCCTTTTGTGTACATTTCCTCTCTGCACAAGCATTTATTTGCTCAGATGACTAGGATACAAAGCGGTAGGACAGAAGGACAGAATTTCTCTCACTGTCAGGGGCCTGGGAGAACATCTGGTTCCCTCCGTGATTTGAGGGGGTTGGTGATGCACCCACCCACGTACTCAGAGCTGAGCTGGGACTGAGTCAGGGCTCTCTCCTCTCAGTTCCTTGTGGGTGCATAGGTCAGAGATCAAAACTTCTTTTGCTGCTTCATGAAGCCTTAAAAATGCTTCTGATGATCACACTGAGGAAAGCACTAGAGATGCGAGGCAAGGTAGCTGGCTGTTGGCAGGGAGGTCTGATTTTCCTCTCAGGAGTATGTTCCAATGACCAACCACCATTGTCTCACACATCACATATCCCAACCTTTCCTTGACGAGCAGCTACTTATGACTCCCCAGCTGTGGCGTGCAGACCACAAGGGTCCAAAGGGTAGAACTCACGAACGGAGTGTTTAACCCATGAGTCACTGACTGAAGCGGCTGCCGGCACCACTACCCCCACATTTGTGGCTCTCAGGGGGTTCCCAGAAAAGGTGCGTCATGGCACAAGAAAGGAGCATGTGGTCAGGGTTACCCAAGACAGGCATCAGGCTTGTTCAGTGCAGTCCAAGTGGATTATTCTGGAGTAACCTCTGCACCCCCTCTTCTCACATTCAGCGCCATGGTTATTGCACGCTGGGAGAAGCTTTCAACAGGCTGGACTTCTCAACCGCCATTCTGGATTCCAGGAGATTTAACTATGTCGTACGGGTAAGTCTCAAGAACCCAAAGGCTCATCCGGCCCCTCAGGTTGAATTACTTATGGGTTGTCTAGAAGTAGTTTTCCCCAAAAAGTAACTTTTTAGGACCCTACGAACTTTGAGGAAAGCAGAAAATGGACTCAACTTCCCCTCCCCCCAATATACTTCAAGCTCTTGCATGGATCCGTAGGATGTTGGTTAGAGCATCGTCACAATAAGCCATGTCATGGGTTAGGTGCCTGGTGAGGGCATATACAGGAATCAACCAATAAATGCCTGGGTGGGGGGAGCATCAAACTGATGTTTCTCTCTCTCTCTCCCTTCCTCTCTAAAATAAAAAAATACAAATTAAAAAAAAATGTTTTTAAAAGATGTCCCTAGGATTGTCCCCGTCAGACGGGGACTGCCAGAATACTCAAGTGAGTCGCTCCCAGCCCCCGTGGATAAATGGGTGCATGTTGCAGCCAGCACAGGCTCTGGCAGTGACAGTAACAAGACACAATGCAGGGGTAAACAAGCCATAAAGCACCTTGGCTTGTTTTTAAAAACTTCTGCACCTCTGATTGTTCTCACTGTCCAATTCCTTGTCCTCCTACAGCTGGCTCTAGGGGACCCCAAAGCATTCTGGGTTTAGACCACGACACCGGTTGAGTTCAAAGCACCTCAGTGCTTCTTTCCCATGACTCCCTTCCACTTCCACCCCATATGATAACAACATTCAGTCCTGTGTTTACCTGAAACTTGAAACTACCTGTTTGGGCCAGTTGTCTTCCCTTTGCTTTTAATGAGCTTTAGCAAAATATCAGTGATGAAGATAGTAAAGCAAATAAATCTAACACCATGACCTACAAGTCAGGGATTCTTCTTAATTGGTTCATTAGCATTTCTCCCCCTAAGAAACCTTGTGAGTTTTTTTGTCTGTGGTTCAACCTGGGAGGTAGCAGCTGTTTGGGTTTTCGGTTCAGAAGTAGGAGGGAATTTTCCTTGTGTGGGTGTTGGTTGGTTTGGTTTTTATTTTCTCCTTCCTGGGTTGTTGTGCTTCTCCGTGCCATGTCATTGAGTCAGATGATTGCAAAGTCTCAGCCAGAGCGATGACATTCGGGCCCTCTTGATGCCTGGCTCATTCACCTGTCATATGGACAGATGCAGGGCTGCCGTCCCAACTGGCCCGACGAAAACCCAGGCCCCCTCATAGGTTAGAAGCTCTAAGCTGAGCCTGTGGCCACATCAGCGGATCTGTCCACTCTTCAGCTGAACCTTTATTCCAATCCAAAAAGGTTGCAAATAGAAGACTGTCCTGATGAAATGTTCGTGTCATTCTCTGTGACTCTGCCACCTCAGGGAGGTCACCGCAGCCTGCACCCCAGTCCAGGCTGGTTGGAGACAGGCCCAGGAAGATCTGGAAACTGTTGCTAAGAATATGAATAGTTTCCATCCTCTAGGTGTGAGAGCCAGACACCCAGATCTGGCGTCTTGATTACAAACTGGTCAGCAACAGGGACAGTTTTAGATGGTTCTCCTTCCCACCTGTTATTCCTTTCACAAGAAAAACTAAAGAAAGGAACAAGGATCATGACAGCAAAAACGTGTTTCATGCAATCATGTACCTTATCCTCCTTTATCCTTTCAATAACCCTACAACGTGGAGGTACTTCTATTGTCTCTGTTCAAAGAAATGGAGGTACACGGCAGGACGTAATGACTTGTCCAAGGTCAGGAAGCTACGTAAGTACAAAATGAGGATCTGAAATGCAGGCAGGCAGAGCCCACACTCTTAACTGCGACAGTAAGTTCTATGCAAGCAGAGGATTGAAAGTAAAATGTCCTGGGGTGAGGTCCCCAGCTCCACTACCTTCACTGCCTCAGCCTCTCTAAGACTCAGTTTCCCCCTTTGAGAAGGGACTTAGAATAATCTCAACCACACTGCGTGGCTGTGAAACTCAGTAACATATTCCATATGGAAATACTCTGCAGACCCGAAGCCATTGTGCAGTCAGCTACCGATATTTATTATTACCTACTTACCAAAGTTATCACTGAGTCCCCGTAACATATCTTTTTAATTTAGTTGATAAAAATGTTTTTCTACCTAAAAAAAATGATTAACTGGGAAATCTTGCAGCTGATTAAGACTAGGCGCGGAGAACTTGTGTCTGATAGAGTCTAATTGCAAACTGCATCATGAATACTTTTAAACAATTTTAAAGTTGGAGAAACTGCTGTATGCTTTTAGGTTTGTTAAGTTCAGAAGTAGTGGAAAAATAGTTCTGTTTTGGAAAGAACAATTTTTTCTTTCCCCTTCACTTTGAGAGCCCTCTGTAATTTGAGAAATAATATGTTATTTTTATGAAGAGCTTAAAACATTTTAATGATAGGCACCACATTTTGAGGCTTTTCTTCTAAGGAACTCAATACACTTCTCATATATTCTTCTTATCCTTAAACCAACTTTGCAAAGTAGCTTGCCAGTATGTTATCCACGTCTTACTACTTTGACCTAATGGTTTCTTAATGCTACAATGATTCCTTAGTTCCAGTAAGAAACTGGACCAACTTTTCGAAGGCCTTTAAAGAGAAAATTTTTTTTAATCTCCTTAAAGGCAAAGTACATTTTTTTAAATACGCTGTGTGCATGTAGGCTGTTATCCCCAGAAAAAGAGGCATGCAGAGGGGAGAGAGATGGCCGGCACAGCTGTGTCAAAATGTTACCATTGTTATCAGTAAGCACAGCAACTTCATCCAACTTCTGGGATCGAAAAATCTGAAAATAAATTGCAGGGGTTTCATATGGCAGGGGTACCTGAGCTGTCTTCAGGCCTCCCTCATTGCCACTGCCCCCTTCCCCACATTGCCCCAGTGGCTTAAATACAATTTTAACGGTGGGTGTTAAAAATGATTTAAGACCTTTAGAAGCAGCAACTTACTCATTTATGAACCGTCATGTGTTTACATCATGCCTCAGGACCAACACATTTTAGAAATTCCCCCTGAGGTTGGCGAGGGGGGTGCAGGCTGGGCTGGGCTGGGCTGGGCTGGGCTGAGCTGAGCTAGGCTGGGCTAGGCTAGTAGTGGGGCTTGACCTTGGCAGCCACAGGAGAGAAGCCCTGGCGAATGCACCCCGGGCACAGAGAGGCCAGCAGGGAAAGTGAGTCTCCAGTGGACAGGGAAGGTTTGCTCAGTGAAGGGAGCCTGCTGTGGCCCAGTGGTTCCCAGCCCTGGCTGCCTGTTGGAATGGCATGCAAGGCTGGTCCCCAAAAGCCCGCCTCTACAGTGACTGATTTAATTCACTGAAGATGCCCAGGCGTTGCTACTGAAATGTATCTACCAGGTGATCCCAGGGTGTTTTCAAGTCTGCCAACCAGCTCAGAACTATTTGGGGGCCCAGATGTTACATTTTGCACATTTTGTTTGGGTTTTTTTTTTTCACTATATGAAATGCACACTAAGTTTTCCAATGGGACACTGAAGCCCACAGGGAGGGCTTTAGTGCCTTCCTGCCAGGATGGCCTTTGACCTGGTCCTCACACCTCTCTCTGTGGAATGAGAATGTGCCCACGTACACAGTAACTATAAATGCCATGTGCAGACTGGGAAGGTCCTGGAGAACCTTAAGTACCAGTTTCCTGAGATGAACTGCTCCCCTCCCCACCCTTCCCCCCATAGCTAGCAGATCAGGAAGGACAAACAAAAGCTTGCAAACCCACTCGCGTGTCCCTCAGGCAGCAAAGAACTTCACAACCTAAACCAATGCACTTTTTAATTTTTTTCAGCATTACCACCCTAAGTCTATTTGAATGCTTCCAGCAAGTTATGCATTCCTGCCACCCCTAAAAGTCTTTTCCAAAAACATGTTTCAGTTTAAGTTGACTGGCGGTTTGGCAAACAAAGGCTGAAATATGGCATTATGACTCAAGTGCAAACCCAGCGCCTTCAATTACGGGCGCGCTGTTGCCAAGGCCCTGGTGGGTCGTGATGTGCCTGAGCAGCCCGGCCCCTCGGCCGCAGTGACCTTGTGTTAATTTGGTGCCGCACACATTTGGTGGCCCTCCTTTGATGTACAGTGGCCTCTGCCACTAGAGTCATAAAACTGGTGGTATCTTTTTCCATTGGGACTGAGCAACTGGGACGAAGGGACAGTGGCCAGCCACCTCCATGGCAATAAAGTCAAAATAGCAGAGCCCTGAGCCCACTTGAACACGGCCTGCAGAAACGGTAGGGAATTGTGAGAACCCACTGCAGGGCACTACAGTGAGGGTGCTGGGCAGGCCTGTCTGTGAATGCTCATTAGGCTGCTAGTGATTTTACAGGAAGAAAGTCTGCCTCTCTCAAAAGTCCTAGCCTTCTCAGTCATAATGAGCATTTCGGATAAGCAGATCCTGCTCTGTCGGGGTGCCCACAGAAGTAAGAGAGCGCACGCGGGGGCGGGGGGCGCTACCAGAAAAAGTGAAGGGTTGCCTACACAGCCACAGAAGTAATGGAGTCATCGCAGAAGTAGGAGGGTCCCCCAGATGCAGGGCACCCAGAGAGATGGGAAGGCCGAGAGACCAGACAGTGGTGTTTTTGACCATGGACTACTAACAGTAAATAACTAACTAAAACGTGTGCTGTCAATGTATGTGTATTCATACATTCGCTTGTAGACCACATATCTTTAAAAGTTGCTAGTAATGGTATCTACCCCATTGTGTTGCTATGAGAATTAAACTGAATATAAACATATAAAATGCTCTCAAACAGTGTCTGGTACATGGTAAGCACTCAGTGAGTATCAGTTGTTGCTGTTATTATTATCTTTAGGGTCCTATTTCCAGGCATTAGAAAACACTCAAAACTGGAAATTAAAGATGAAATAAAACATAGAGATTGATTTTTTTTTTTTTTTATGATTTTCTTTCCCATCCCACTTTGGAGACCTCTGGATCAAAGGTGTGCCCATTTTTGTATACCACTTTTCTTGAGGACTCAGAATCTAACCACAGACCCAGAGGTTGCTAGGCTTAGTTAGGTGCG